GCTTCCTTCCCTCGCCAATTTCCCTCCGTAAATTCGATTATCTATAGGTATACTCTACTCACCGGTTCCTCTCTTCCTTCTGCCCCGTCCCCGGCCCCTCGTGGATCCCCGGCGCGCGTCCTGCGACTCTTCAACCTCATCGGCGTCGTCCTTCTGCAGCTTTCAGCACATCCTGCCCTACGAGACCTACGGAGACTGCTCTCCGAAACCGAATACACGATCGATCGCGGAGCTTGTACCTATTTGGCCGTTAATGGATTTCCCAGGATTTTTTCCGCGCCGGGTTTTCGGAGCGATACTTTTTAATAGCCTCGAGCGCTTTTTGGGGATGTTCGAATGCTGATGGGAATTGGCTCGCGGGGCGGAGATGAATAGTAGTTTTGTACATGTTATTCGAAGAGGTCTGCGCGCTTTCGGTGCGGATTTTATTAGCGAATTGCGGAAAATCTCGATGTTGCGGGGATACTGTTTATTGATGTAATCACTTATCTTTTTAGTTGATGCGATCGTCTTCCAGGTGAATAACTTTCTCAATTTCTCAAGCGAGAATTCTATTGAAAAATGCAAGCTTTGTTTCCTGATTGAAACGGTGTATTAACCCTTTGCACTCCAAAGGTCACTCAGGCACCACTCGATTGGTGCATCAAAATTGTGAAATTTCGTATTTAACATTGTCTTGAGTAATCTGTTGATACGTGAAATGGGGAAATGAAATACCATTGTTTCCCTTATTTTGTGAATAGATCCCTCGTTAAGTTGAAAACAAATCTACAAATCTGCAAATCTACAGATCCACAAATCTACAGGTCCACAAATCTACAGATCCACAAATCTGCAGATCCACAAATCTATAGATCCACAAATCTACAAATCTACAAATTTACAGATCCACAAATCTACAGATTAAGTTGAAAAATATCCCATAAAAATAAATTGAATATTTCTAGTGAAAAATGTTTGGAGTGTAAAGGGTTAATAGAACTAAAATATCTAAATAATAAATATCTAAATAGTAAATAATAATAGAACCAAAATACCTAAATAATAAATATCCAAATAATAAATAATAACAGAACCAAAACATCCAAATAAATATCTAAAAGCACCTCATTCGTTCGCTTTGATTACGCGCCAGCCTCTCAAGACCCAAGGATCCGCAAGAGCCGCGGAACTCAAAGTTAAAAACCTAATACGATAGAGACGCGTGGAGCAGCGTTAGAGCGGGGTCGAGGATCATTTTTGGGCGAAGTTAGAGAAGCTGCTCCAGCCGCGGGTCTCCCGCGGGAGGTCGCCGTAGCCTCGAGATTGCCCCGGCCAGGAAATATTCGACGCTCGAGACCGTCCGCGGCCTAGATCTCCGCGAGTTTCTCGGAAAAAGCCTGGAATATCCTCGACTTTGCGCGGTCACGTTCATCTCCAGGCGGCCCGCTCCGCGCCGGCGGAGAGGGCAACGAGCTAGAAGAGCATCTTTCATCCCTCCCGCCGATTGTACATTGTCCGGCGCCGATGAAAAGGGACTTTCCCCGGGAATAAGATTCGAGTTGATCCTCCGCGACACCGGCATCGATGGCGACTGCGACGGAAAATTGATTTTGCTCGCCGCCACGGGCTCGGTGCGCGTGGACCGCTCGGCGAAACGAGAACACAGGTTCAGGTGTTCGTTGAAAACGGATAAGGGCCGAGGAGAGTGTGATTGACAACGGTGTCGTCCGATGAAATCGGCTGGGACGTAGGCTGCAAAGGGAAAAACTTCATTGCGAGGCTGGGGACAATTACTTTGACGATGACGAGATTATGAAGTGTCCTTGATAGACTTGGAATCTGGTTGTTAACGCTAGGTTTACGGAGTGCGTCAATTTGACGCATACTGAAGTTTATGAACATTACTTGGCGAACGATTATGTCGGTTTTGGGTGATGCAGTTACAAGAATACGTATCGTAATGACCTAATTTTAGATCCCTAGTTTCCAAGATCTATGGTCGAACATCAATTTTTCTTGGAACAATGGAATAAACCGGACAATAAACCTAGTGTTAACAGTAGAACTATTAGACAGGTGAAATGACCGTCATTTTGCTATTATTATTATTATTATTGTTTCGTTATTATTTCGCTATTGGGATAAAGGTGGTTTCGTGAGAAATTTTTCAATGAATTCCTGCATTCGTGCAGTAGTAGGAAGTTCGGAGAATCTCAAGAAATATGCTTTTCTAATTTTTATAATCAATTATAAACAGCTGTCATTGTTTGGTAGTTCTAGTGTTAAGATAGACTATTGAAGATCGTTTAGATGGATGATCATAAAGGATAGACGTTAAAATTGGAGATGGAGCATTGGATTTACTAGAACTTTCATTTCTATTACCACAACTCCTTCCATTACTATATGTCTGACTTATCGTTGACTCATTTCACTGCCACCGAAGGAACCTTCTCTAACCCTTTGCACCGTAGCTTCTCAGTCGCCAATTGATTTGACACAGGAAAATTATAGAGTTTGACATTTAATATTAAATTTTGTACAATGCATCGACATTGAAATATTAAAATAAAACAGCCTCTTTCTTTAACACTAGGTTTACGGGCATTTATTGTACAGTTTATTCTATTGTTCCTGGGGAAGTTGATATTCGTTCATTTAGATTTTGGAAATTCTAGATGTAGAAATAGACAATCAGGATTCATATTCGTAATTGGATCAACGAAGACCGATTGAAACATTTACCAAATAATGTTTATAAAATTCAATCTGCAAATTGACGCGTTCCGTAAACCTAGTGTTAATTTACGTAAGATTTCTCGTTAAGTCAGTCTGAAAGGTCGTCGACATTTCATTAAAAAATCTTGAGTATTCCTAATGAGAAACTTCTGGAGTGCAAACTGCTAAAATCCAATCTACAAACCATAAACCTTCAACCCTTCCCTCGCGAAAACCTCAAAACAAGCTCCAAAAATTCTCAACAGTTTCCCGCAACTCAAAAATCCACAAAAAACCAACACCCAATCCTCAATTCCCAACCTCCAAGTCACGAAATCATTGAACGCTCAAAAAACCGAAACAAAACCTCTCTCGAAACCCGATCAACTCCGCGGCTCGTCTCTAAACGAAGGGGCCGCCCGAACCGGTCCAATTCCTGCGGGTCGGTTGAATCCGGCGAGGTCAAAGGTCGCGCGTGCCCGCGAGAGATCGATTCGATTATCCCGTCTGCCGAGACGCTTTAAATACAGCGGGCCGAGAGCCGTTTCGGTGACGAAACGCGGGTTTCTCCCGTTTGAAAACCGGTATCGACCCGGCCCGCCTAGGGGAACGGCGCGGAACCGATGAGGATAGAGCCACCGACGAGAAGGGGGGGGTCGGGGGTGGCGGCAAAGGGACGCGCGAATAATTTCCGGCGAACGGGCTCGATCCGGTCGCCCCGGCTCGTCGGCCGCGCTTCTTATTTAAAGATCCGACGGTGGTATTAACGATTTTCGCCTGTAACCGGCGCTGCTCCGCGGTTTATCCGGCTGCTTGTTCAACCGGGGAGTGTTTTGAAAGCGTGCCAGTACAGCCGGCGTACCGTGCGCCCTCCTGAAACGGGGGAAAAAGACGGGGCGGGCGAACGGTGCATGGCTGGAACACGGATAGAGGAAGAAAGGGTACAGACAGAGAGAAAGAGAGAAAGAGGGAGTGAGGGGAAGGTGAACAGAACGTACGAGTAACGCAGCACAATTCACGGCCGCGCTGTGTATTCAGTCTTCCCAATGAAACAGTTGTTATTTTGTGGTCGCCGAGTGCACTAGAGAGATACACCGGCGGAATGGAAAGGCTTGCTCGGATAGCGGAGCAGCAATATCGGCCTGTGTCCGACGCCCGGCCGCCGCGGTATGCGAGCAGCGTTTTCGCCCAGCCAGCAACGCCGGTGAATCTTGAGCGCTGATCGGACATAATGCAACTCCGTGTATCGCGGGCAACGCAGCGATGCGGCCGCACGATTTATCGGGCCTGGCCAGCAGCGGGGCAACCGACGCTTCGGCTGACATTAGTTTCTGTCCCTGCGCTAGGGCTTTGTAAGAACGAGAAATTTTCTGTTGTCGGGGATCAGCTTGGTTGGATGGGATACGGTTCGCTTGGGGATGTTCTGCTTGTTGGGAATTAGGGACTTTCATTTCGATGGCGATTTGAGTATTCTTTCGTGGTTGGAAGGTTAACGGGTGTTACCCCTTGCCGTACAATGACGGGTAGACGAGGAGATGAAGATTTCTAAACTAATCTAATAAGAACCTATGGTGTTCAGTACACGCGGATCAAAGACAACTATTTTGCTATTACCAATGTATTATCTTCAAATGAAATTTCTACCTGAAGTAGAATGGAAAGTTTTGTTGTATTTCTGACGAATCGGAGATAGTAAAATATTACACGAGCTTAGTAACGAAAGTAAATAGTACGCGACCGTAATCTTATGTTTTACGTAATGAAATTGTATCTAGGAACTCAGTGACTCATTTCAGTTTCATTTTTCTGATATTCCGTTTAGATTTATTGGATTGAAGGAAATATTATAATTATAATTGAGTGTTAATTTGTGGACGAAGATTTGGAATATAGAAACTCTTCAACACATAAAGCTAAATTATATCAATTGCTCGAATAATAGAAAACTTAGTCTTCGAGGTTACAACTCTTATTAGCTTCACGTACCTCAAAAACATCCAACAAAGCAGCATTACTCTTTCAAACGTAACCTGAAAATTCTAACAAGTCCACGTTACCTATTCCCAGCACGAGGAACATTTCCACCAGTCACGTGACGTCTGTTTCCCGGGTTCTACCACGAAATTTCTCGTTGTATCTTTAAAATCCCCAAACGCGAGTATTCAGAAATTCAGTAACTAAAAACGACAAGCAATGGGTCCCCGGGCTTCATTGCTGCTAGGATAGGCTCGCGAAAGGGTTTTTTACATCTAAACGCCTACACCACGATACTACAGATACTTCCGTTGTTTCTGCCGCAGGTGGTACTACAACCGGAACCAGAGGGAGGAGCCGATCGAGGACTCGGCGGGCCACTACGTGGTGCGCGACGGTTCGCTGATCATACAAGGTGTCCAGGAAAACGACACCGGCTCGTACATGTGCACCGCCAGTAATTCGGAGGGCAGCGAGTCCATGGAAGTGAGGTTAACGGTGTCCGCGCCATTGAGCGTGCACGTTCAGCCGTCGATTCAGACCGTCGATCTCGGGAAGGCCGCTCATTTGGTAATTGACGATTCTCACGGCTGGCAACGCGATTGATAGGGCTGGTTTTATAACGGCAATTAATGCCGGGCCCCGTGTGGCCCATTTGTCTCGGCCGTTTTACCTTCGCGTCAGTTACCGAGCTGCCAACGTTATTCACCGTTCGCCGGTGTAACTGTGCCCCATTATCGCGATTATCTTTGTTGTACGGGGAACGCTCGCAATTGCCTCGGATATCAACGGGCTAGGCACTGTTCCGCGGAAAAGTTATTGATACGTTACTTCGAATGATAGATTCGCCGTAGTTTAGCCTCGATGTGTATGGCGTTTCGATGTTAACCCGTTTTCCTACGATATCGTGTCGGACTCGTGATGATTTCGAATAGAATTTGACAAATATCGTTTGGTTCCTCGAAGTCTGAATTGAATATTATGTTATTCTTTACAATATATTATAGAAGGAGGGAGATTCTACGCTTATTCTACATCTACGTTCACTTGAACACATTACAATCAGTAGAAAACTAATACTCAATTCGGAGATTCTCTATTCTTTAGAATCTGTTACAAAATGAGGGAGATTCTACGCTTATTCTACATCTACGTTCACTTAAACACATTACTATCAATAGAAAACTAATATTCAATTCGGAGATACTCTATTCTTTAGAATCCGTTACAAAATGAGGGAGATTCTACGCTTATTCTACATCTACGTTCACTTAAACACATTACAATCAATAGAAAACTATCTCTGTTACTCGTAATTGTGAAAGAAATCGTAGGTCAAGAGGTTAATGAAACTACAGTGAAATTGGATTCTGTAATTGTAGACACTCCAAGAGTCTATCGAGACTTCAATCGACTTACAATTCAGTTTCCGTGTTGCTGAGTCAATTTCTTTAATCATTCCTCGGAGAAACGTGCCATCCGTTACGCTCTCTGCCCGACGCTCCCCAATTACATAAAAAAAATCCTCCTTATTTCCATAAATTCCCGATGCAAGGTCCAAACCTAGCCGGACCGAATCTCAGGCAAGATGAGAATCCATCCCGGTGAATTTTTTGTTCATTTCCGTCGCGGAGTTCCGGGGTAATCCGATTTTTACGAGAACACGGATAGCCGGCCGGCGTTCTGAGGACCGGCGGGCGTCCCCCGCGTTGCAATCTTATTTTTGGAGGCAAGATGGCGGAGGGACGGCTGGGAGGTGGAAGATTCGAGGTCATTCTGTTACGGGCGGCCGGAAACTTGGCCGGTTCTCATCAGTCCCGTTTCTCCGAAGGAACTGATGAATAATCCACAAAATGTCGTTAACTCTGATACGTTTTTCGAGTCTCCTTCGACTCGGCTACATTCCCATTTCTCCCGAACTCGTCCAATTTACTTAGTCTTCCTTAACAAAGTCGGCGTGACCTTTCTCGGACGATATATGAATCTTAGAAGAGCAAACGAATATTTTTACTGAGGTGAGAATAGAATTTTCCCCATTTTTCAGGTGGTTGTGTAACCTATCAGCAACTGCAACTAATTTTTATGGTATCCCCAGCGAAAATGAAAAATGCTGTAACATTTCTTAGATCTTTCATTTTTGTTCTTAACGCAAAATTTGGATTTGTGAAAAATCTAATAATTGTAGGGTAGTTTCTTTAAGATTCATTAATCTAATATTATTTCTGATGCAATATTCATGTGTACATCGAAAATTGTAGCAGTATTACAGTAAACATTATTCTAGATTGTTACTGAAGCAACTGTTACGAAGAATTCTGACTTAGTCTTCACTCTATTAACACTAAAACTACCGAGCATTTCAGTGATCCAAAATCATTTCAAATATTCAATGCTTTTAAGGTATTAATAACTACGAAACAAAGAAATTGAAACCAGTCACTTTGACTGGTACGGTAGTTCTAGTGTTAAGAAAATTGTTTCGACTGCATGGGGGCTTTGACGAGTGTTTACTTAGCAGTCAACGTGTTGATCAACAGCAAAGGTCGCTTCGAGTCTCAAACATACCGCTTTAACCACTCGCGACACGGAATTCTAATTCGATATTTCTAATTCGATATTCAGAACTAATTTTATATATCAATCAGTTGTAATCATTACAAAGTGGTCGATTTTCAAACAACCTGTAATCACACAATTGACAATTTCGGAACAAAAACACATATCTAGCTCGTCTTTGGCAAATAGTTAAATTCCATGCTGTAAATAATTCCCTGATTAATCAGTAATTCCGACAGTAATATTTTCGAGGAAATTTTGTTCGTTAATTGTGATTGGTGGAGGATTAATTCGTGGGGATCTGGAATAGAAGTGATTTGAATAGGGAATAGTATTTTGGAAGATGCAAATGTTGTCGGTTAATTAGGACTGACGGAGAAGTAATAAAATTCACTGAGCGACCGACCCGTTTCGTTGGTGAATCCGTGAATTATTTTCCAGACGTGCAGCGCCAGTGGATTTCCGCAGGCAGCGTTGTACTGGCTGAAGGACGGACAGCCGCTGAGGACAGGCGCTCGCGTGAGGGCGGTTACCAGGGAGCGCATCTCCGTGATGTCGGTGGCGCGCGAGGACCGCGGCATGTACCAGTGCTTCGTGAGGAACGAGTACGAAATGGCCCAAGGAATCGCGGAATTGCGGCTCGGCGGTGAGTCTTTTGTTTGCTTAGGCGTATCCAGCGCCGGAACGGACCGGCTGCGGACCCGCACGGACCAGATATCACGTTCAATGTGTACCTGGGAACCCGAGACAAATTCCGCGCGCGGTTTCGCTGCTAGGATTATAGAATAATATTTTCCGGCGATGGAGTTTCGCTGGTTAACTGGGATTGATGGAGGGTTCAGTTGGGAAGATCTGTGGATCGAGTAATTCGAATGTGGGATAATATTTTGGAGGAAATTTTGTTCGTTGATTGGGATCGGTGGAGGATTAATTTGTGGGGATCTGGAATTGGAGTGATTTGAATGAGGAATAATGTTTTGGAAGATACGAATGTTGTCGGTTCTCTGTTAGTCCCTAATGACCCAAGTGTTGATGCGACTATAAATAAATGTAAATAAAAAAAAATGTCGGTTAGATAGGATTGATGGAGAGTTCAGTTGTGAGAATCTGTGGATCGTGTAATTCGAATGTGGGATAATATTTTGGAAGAAATTTTGCTCGTTAATTGGGATTGGTGGAGAATTAATTTGTGGGGATCTGGAATTGAAGTAATTCGAACGTGGAATAATATTTTGGAAGAAATTTTGTTCGTTAATTGGGACTGGCGGAGAATTAATTTTTGGGGACCTGTAATTGAAGTAATTCGAACGTGGAATAATATTTTAGACAAATCAAATTCCGTTTAATTGAAATTGATGGACGGTTACTTTATAAAGATATAGAATAACATATTAGAGAAACGAAGTGCCATTGATTATTTATAATTTACAAAAGGTTAATTAATAGATATCACTTCTCGAAACCATTTGTATTATATTCCGATCAAACGGGAGTAATCATAAACCGCAGAAACGAAGAAATTAATTGTTGCAAAAGTTCATCGTTGGCTGCTGAAGTTTCTCACGACCCAGGTTTCCATGGAAGAATTCTAGCGAGCCATTATGAAATGAAATTTAATACTCGGCCTGATTAATTCCCGGGAATTGAAGTTAAAACGAGCCGGTGTACATGTCTACGAACCTGTTCGTTTCGCTATTCTCCAGACATTTATGCGTATTAATTCCAATTAAGCAACGTCTCGAACAATTATCCCGGCATTCTTTCGCTAGAAATATCCCCGCAGTGCGTCCGTCAAAGCAACGGGCAAAGAATTCCGCGCGGCGGCGTACGCCGTTCCCCTCATAATCGACGCGAAACGGAACGGTCTCGTTAAATCGTCGTCTTGCGTCGTTAAAGGATATTCAAGATTGCCCATTTAATTCAGTTCCCCGGCTACATAATAATCGTTCCTTTTTCTCCGCGGCGGGGAGCCCGACCCGCCCCGTTCCGCCTCGTGTAATATCCATTATGCCGTTTAAACGATTTTAAGGAAGCCTTGCCTGTCTCATTTCTACCGGGGCCAGTATAACTCGCGGGAGCGGTTAACGAACGTTCCGCGGTATGAAACGTTTAAGACACTCCGTCGCGGCGTCTAATGACATCTGGCCGCAGCCGACGGTCGCAATTGCGTCTGATACGCCAACCTGCTATCCCCTTTACCTGCGTTCACGATCCGGACGATTTAATCCTGGACAGTGCGGAAACCGACGACTCGAATTACTCGCAGAAATAAGTAAACTGACGGCCAAACTTGATTTTTAACACTAGATTTAAGAAACGCGTCACTTTGACGCATATAGAATTTGATAAACACTATTTACTAAATGTTTACGTCGATTTTGATCGATGCAATTGCAAGAATATGTATCGCAAATGTCTATTTTAAAACCCCTAATTTCTAAGATTTCAACGAATGAATATTCATTTTGCTAGAAACCTAGTGTTAATGTAAAATACGAAAGCAAATTTTCAGTTTTACTGTATTCACCCTTAATGGATTGGAATATTTCAAGTTTACTTACGAAATATAGCAACAGATAAACGAATGAGATTCACAGAAGTGACGAAGATAATAAATTGATTTTTGCCAGTATATGCGCGGCTTGGATCTAGTAACTAAATGCCGTGGTGATATGACATTGCGTTAAGGGTAACATAAACTATAAAAAGTTTCACCTATTCCCCGCCGAACCATAGAAACTACCATTTCCCTTAATGCACTGCCACAGAGTCGATTAATAGAACTATTTCCCAAGACTCACGACTTTCAAACATTCCATTTACAGACGTTTATTTGAACGATAATAATTTATTAATTTCCGTTGTCAACACAAACTTTTTTATTTATCTTTCCTTTTTTCGCGTTGATTTTACACATCCATGAAGTTTACATCAACATTAACCTACGCCTCTACACATTTCCTCTTCAAACATGAATTCCTCTCCAAAAACTCAAGAATCCCCAAAATCTACAACCCATCAAACCCCAACCCTCAAACACAGAGCAAATAACACCCAAAAAACAATCAACCAACCCCCAACGCGAAACTCCCTAGAAATCCTCTCAAATGAACCGGTCAGCCTCTGCAGGTAAATCAACGAACAGGAAAGTAATTGGAAAACGTCACGCGTACGAGAATGAAGCTTCTTCCTTCCATTACAACGTTCCTTTCGTTCTCCCTTCTCCTTCCCTCTTTCTCTGGAGAATGGCTCCTTGGATGATGGAAAACCGCGTCCGAGCCGGTGCGTTCGGAAGACAGACCCGCGGAGAACGGAGACGCGCGGGGCGAGGCGGGCCTGTTTGTCGAGCGAATGGTTCCGCGGTGATAGGTTGCCGGTGGTTAATGCAGTGGAACTCTTCCCCATACGATCCATTCCCGGTTTGCGTGCCACTCCATCGTAACGCGTTTTCCATCACCGGCGGCCGGGCTTTCCTCCGGGGGAGGGTACGCTACGTGCTATTTTCCCGCGAAATTTTCCACCCCCGCGCCGGTTCCCCGCCCCGCGACTCGTTCGTGCCGCGAAAATCGGTGTTCGCCGCACCGATAATCGCCACCGATGGTTCGAGCCAGCGGCGCTTTTAATTATGGAGCCACTCGCAGACCACCCCAGCGGCCGTTGATCACGTACTTTTCATCGGCGCTGATCCCGCGGGCTGGAGCGTGGATGCGGACCGCTTCTCCGGCGCTCTTCGATTCTGCTTTTTTCCTCCTGTTTGTTTGCTTTGCGTGATTTTTCATCGTTTTTCGGCTCGGCAGGGGTTTACCGATGAAATGGGCGTGTGGTATTCGTTCCTTGGGAGTGTTTGTTTGGTGGGGAATTAAGGTTTGGTATTTAACCCTTAGGGACTGATGAATAATGCGCGAAATGTTAACTCTGATACGTTTTTCGAGTCTCCTTCGACTCAGATCTAACTCAAGTTAACAGAAATCTTTATCATTAGAAAATTCTAGATATCTGTGATGAAGGATTCGAGTATCTTGTTAACCCATTAGTAAAATTATCCAGAAATATTACAGTGTACTTCTGCAAATTTTAGACGGAGATCCAAAGCAGGAATTATTAATTCTTTAGTATGAAAATCCTTATATCACCCTACTATCTAGGTATTAACTTTACAGAAAATTTGTACTCGAAATCAATTATCTTCAGTCATCATTATTTTCTTGTAATTTGAAAGCTCCGGTCATCGGTGACCGCCGTGGCAAAGTGTTAAGGGTTAATATTAAACTCAATTTAATTTAAAAAATCTTTATCATTAAAAAATTCCAAATATCCGTAATGAAGGATTCGAGTATTTTGTTAACTCATTAGTAAAATTATCCAGAAACATGACAGTATGCTTCAAATTTTAAACGGAGATCCAAAGTTCTGTCGTTAGAATATCTTATACATTATTCCAATAAAAATCTCCACAGAATTAACTGTATCGTTTCCACTGAAAATTCAAAATCGTCACGAATAATAATCGAAAATGTTAACGCACTTCCGATCACATGTTTCCCATTCCCTTCGGTGATCCCGCGAATTGCTTTTCAATTCGAGCACACTTCGATGTTTTCCTTTCTCCCCTTCTTCCCTTTTGTTTGCCGGTTTCGCGTCGTCGTTTTTTCTTTCGCTCGGTTTTGTTTCCTTTTGGAGATAAGGTAGATAGGTACATACGATTAACGGAGCTCTCCCTCTCTCTCCCTCCCTCTCTCTCTCTCCCTCTCTGGGGGCCGTTCTAGCGGTCTCCGTTACGTTGACGAGGTAATTTTTTCGCGAACGGAAGAAGCTTCCGCCGGGGAATATTACCTTTTCCCCTATCGCTGCGGCGAGCAGTTGCGGTACATTAACTTCATTGTTTGCCCCTCTTCTTTCCCCGCCGCATTTCTGATCGCTTCGATGGCTGGGTTACGTAAAGCGGCTACCGTGCGCGTACATCAAGACGGGAT